GCTGGGGCCCATTGCAGCTGGACAACTAAAAAAAACTTTATGTTAGTCATAACAGTTTGTGAACTTGACTAAAACCTTGGATGTTAGAATATTTTGCAGTTAGATCGTTTGTCTACACTTGTTCTGTTTGCACACTTTATTAAACCTGTACATTAAATCTAAGAAGTTAGTCACGTACTGGAATCTTTATTTGGAACATATTAAAAACCTTATTAAAACCTTTTCAGTGATTATCTCAATTTCGGCTAAAAGAATTGACAAAATCCTACACACTGTGCCTTTAATCGTATTACATGGATTTTTCTTCTTGTAAAGCACCTTGAAATGTGTCATCACTTTAAATGGTGATAAAAGTTGTGTTATACTGGTACACTTACCCCAGCCCAACCTCCAACATAAGAGAAAGCGAGGATGAAAGCAATGGCCGTCGCTACAACTGTGAGACTCATAACTGTAACATGGATCTGAAAATCACATGACAAGCAGATGTGTTTGTGTCAAGAATATATATCTTATTACAGTTCTCTTTATAAAGAAATCCAAACTCATGTGGTGACATCCCTTCTAAATTCTTACCACAAACCAGATATCTTTGCCACATAGCTTCTTTCCTTTGGCCATTCTTTTCAAATATCGGGCTACCATCATTCCCAGTGAGCTTGTGGTCATCCAGGCTATCAACATCAGGGATGCTGAAGAGTAAAATGTTCAAATACAGAGTGTTTTGATGTGTTGATGCCTTGTTCATACTTCTCACATCACTGTTATGGTGACTGTGATGCTACGTTCACACCAAACGCGTTTTGAGCTGCAGGAGCAGCCAGTTTACATGCAAAGTCTATGGCTGACGCGCCTCTGGTGCGTCGCCTCATGTACGTTTTGGGCGGCGCACAAGACAGGCGGAAGGGGTGGCAAAGCATTTTCCGTGCATGCAGTGCTGAGGAAGCCGCCGCCGCCCAAGTTCGAAAATCTGAACTTTTCACCGCTCGACGCGTCTTGACAACCAATCAGAGAGACTCTTTTTTTTCCCCATGTGACAGTTTCCTGAATGTTGCTCACTAAACCGAAACAGACAGACAGGAGCTCTTTACTGTACCTGAAATCAACCGTCTGCATTTGGATTTTCTGGCAGAATATATCAGTACCAATGTGGGTCAGCTGGTTGGGAGAAAAAAAAGTTCCGTCAGCTTGCAGCTTCTGGAGTGGTGAAACTAACCGAACAAATCGCCTCTAAATCGTCTGGTGAGTTAATTATCTGCTGTGCGCAATGTTCACTTGCTCTTTAGTAAATAAATCAAAGCCATTTTCTTTATTTTTATCTTTATTTCACCCACCGAGGACAGACTGGAAAAAAACAAGACGCTCCTCCCTCGTCTGGTCTGTGTCCCGGTTTGAACATAGTGCATCCAACTTAAGGCGTTTTATGCTTTTTGGCCGCTCAAAATGCGTTCGGTTTGAACGTAGCATAACATTGGAGGGCCAGAGAATGCACCAGAGTCACAAAGGTATTTTTTAGGAAACCAACATACAATGTCCCAGAGTGCTTAATTAGGCTCTGACATCTCTAGATTTGCAATGCAATTTACTAGTTTATTCTTCTTATCTTACAAGTTTTTTATTTTGTTTTTAAATAAAGTAACAGTTTAATTTTATCTTTATGTAATGAAGAAAATGAAGCCAAGGCAACAATCTGCAGCCAGTATGGGGTGGCTGCACACATGTTTGTACGGGTTTATGAAAACGAACAAAGACAAACTGTTCAGTTAGGGTTGTATATATGATTCTAATGTACTGATTACAGAATAAAATTGTTCAGCTGAACTGAGACATTTCTGTGGGCAAGATCTCACCATGTGCTTGCATGATTTGTGGAAAATCCTCACTTTGCAGAACCTGAGGTTGGGAAATATCTACCTTTGTAGAGCTGGAGAAAGTATTTGTATGCATCTGGATGTTTCCTGTTAGAAACAATGACAAAAAATGTATATATTAATAAATTCAGTATAAGTTCTTAGGCCTTTGGCAGAGGACCTGAGTTTGGAGTAAAATGGAACGAGGAGGGAAACATGTACATCCATCCATTTTCTGTACATGCTTCTTCCTTTCAGGGTCACAGGGGTCACTGGTGCCCATATCCAGCAGTCACAGTGCGAGGGGCGGGGTACACCCTGGACAGGTCGCAAGTCCATCACAGGGCCACACATAGAGACAAACGAGACAAACAACATTCTCTCACTCACACCTAGGGACAATTTAGCGTTATCAATTAACCTACCTAAC